CGCTTTCCTCCGAAGGGAATACTGCCTTACCCCATTAACTTGTCTCGGCGGAGCAAAGCAACAAAGGCCTCGTAACTTATTGTTTCATCTATTGTTTCAGATATCACACTTAAAATACGAAGGCGCGCTATATAACGAAGTCTTCCCTGGGAAGACCTCGGCTCATTTGTCACTCACCGTTCACGTGTGCGGGTCAAATTTAAATGCTGGTAGACGAAAAAAAGGAGCTAATGAGATATCTATTGTTTACTTCCACCAGCATAGTGACAATGAGGTAACGTTCGAACCACCTACTTCGATCTCAAATTTACCACCGCAAATAAAGACAGTTTCCATTGAAGAAAGGAAATACAAATCTAAAAAGTTCTTGTATTGTGATGAAAACATAAAACAATTGTGAGGAATGCGCCCGCTCTTCACTGCTTTGGAGTAGCTGTAGCTCAAGCTTACTTGACTCTAAGAGTTCTACATCACACGACGGTTGATTGAAAAATGGTCCAGTGGGACCTAAGACTCCTGAGACTCCTTTTATAGCGCGCCTTCGTGTTTAAATTGCGCGTATTTCATATGGGCTGCATTTATATTAACGATTGGCATGTTAATTAAAATTGCACACTATTAAATGCTGAGAGAAAAGCATGAAAGGCGCAGTCTTCATTTGTATAAGGTTGTTGCGTCCTAATTTTTTTGGAAAAAGCAAGAAAGCACAGTATGGCTCTGACACGCAATCTTCCCATCTATCAGAGGCCAGCAGTCACAGAGCCTTTGATCGACGAAACGGGTCACTTAGGTCGCTATCCGCACTAGCGATAAAAATTGTTAATTTAGACAAATTTTCTGTCATCACCAATACTTTACAAGTACGGATAATTTGTCGAGACTTGACAAATTTTGGCCGAAGCGGACAAATTTTCAAATGCACCGCCGACAAATTTTCAAACGCACCGCCGACAAAATTTGTCCCAGATAAAACCTTGGCAAAATCAAGAAAGTAAACAAAAAACCTAATAAACTTGTTGATCATTTGTCGTAAACGCCACCACCAGTGTGGTAATTGAACTGGGTTTAGTTTACAAAAAGATCGCAGTAATTGTCTTTCGTTGCGAAACTCGCGGATTTTACAACTTCAAACAACTTAAGATGAATCCTGGTAATTGGAGTTTTAATCCACAGGTAAGTAAACGCGGCAAGTCTTATGAGCAGGTCAGGCGCTGGATGCAGCTGGTCAAGATACAGCCGTGGAGCCGGATTTTCTAGTCGCCACTTTATCAATCCAACAATGAAGCAGTAGAGGTGGCACAAGATCCAGAAGTGCCCACTCAAAGCAAAGGAAGCTAAATTGAATAAATTACAGTGAAATGTAGTATCGGTGTTATTTTTGGCTGTTAACCGAATTTGACAGATTTAACAGCTTCGACATTTTTGATGCAGATGCAACAGAGGCGACAAAAATTTGTC